TCTGAGTACTGGTGAGTTTGCACAGCTCTTCACATTCCTACTGACTCTTCAGGTTTCCTGTTTGTGAACTAAAGGGCAAGGTGTTGAGGACACACCCCTCTGTTGTCACCAGGATACAGCAGCAATGAAGGATAGATGGCAGAGCAGAACTTGTAAGACATTGCTCAGAAGGACATAATCCCATAATACAGCTTGGGGGCTGGACTATTTTGGCACAAAGTATGAAACTGATTGTTCAGTCGAGTATAGCTATTGTCCCCCTGATCCTGGGAACTTTGACCCATGAGAATCTCCAGCAAGAATTGTCCCAGCAATCTGAGATCACAAGGCTTGAGGCCAAGGGAGAGTCAGACCCAAGGTATGGATCCTGGTGTCTGAGGGCAGTAACAGCTGGGGTGATAGGGCAGGGATTTCTGTGGGCTTGAGAATGTTCTCCTGCCTCCAGCAGAGTGGCCATCCAAACGTTCTAGCAAAATCTGACTACTTCCTATGTTTTCTTCATGGAAGGAGAGCAAAACAGGGAAATATATGAACTGTCACCTAGCACTCTCCTCACCGTAGGAGGGACAGAGATACAGAGGTGGCTGGCAGTAGTAATGAGGAAAACACGAAGGAAGGCTCCATCTTCACCCTGACACAGGCAATCTGAAAGAATGCTGATTGTGTTTTTTAATAAATAATCACTAGAATTAGTGTGTCTAGTGTAAACATTCCACTATGAGTTAATTTTACTCACATACTTTCTTTTTCCTTGCTGAAGAACATACTTTTATTTTTGTAAAGGCAGGAGGAAGGGATGCTTTCTTTTCTCTGACCTCATCTGAAAAAGGCATTCATGATGGACACTGGCTCCAAGTAGAGATTTTATTACCAAGTAATTTTTTGTCATGTTTTCTGTTTTCCCCATATGTATACGTATGCCTTTGTATTACTGACATGTGGTTAAAATTGTTATTATTATTTTTAATAGTGTGCAGTAAGCCAGAATCTAGGAATAATTTTCAATTTGAAACTGTGTTCCCCAAGTGGAAATTAAAAATACTTACTTAGGAAATAGAAAAGTGCTGAAATGTCTATTTGTAGATGAGTTTAAGGAGCAATTTCTTGTATAAATATTTGATCTATTCTGGTGAATGCTTTGAATAATTTTGTGTTATTTCCAGAATGATCTGAAATTCTTAGATTTTAACTAAAATGTTCAAAGAAGTTGTTAAATAATATTTCTACTTCAGACATGATTTTGTTTAGGGGACATGACCGTAGTGATATTGATAGTGGCGAAGGGCATGTAATAAGAATAGAGCCACAGTTGTTTCATAATTGCTCACTTTACTAACTATAGGTAAGAGGTTTTCTTACAGACCCTAGAAACTGGAGGATGAAACAAGGCCATAAACAGATAAGATGCTTGATGTGTCCATTACTCATAAAAGAAATACACTTTGAGAACAGACCAGGGACAGAACACGCTTTGATTAAGTTACTGTGCACAAACCCTGCCCCCCTCTAGAAGTTTGCCTCAGGAACAGGCTGAGCTTGTGCAACATCATAAAAGATTAGCCACCTTGTTATCAGACTTTGAACTCCTGAAGGCCCAACCACAGACCCTACCCTCCACTTTCTCTGTTACACTTGCAGCTCACAGCTGCATGTAGCTATCTTCTCCCTCAAGCCTATATAATCAGCCAACTGGCAAGTGGGGATCAGAGCAGAATTCCCAGGGTGACTGAGTGCTCTCCCATTCTACCAGCGTTATTGGATTAAACACTCATATATGATTCAACCCTGTCTCTGCTTAATTTGGCTCCAGTAGTGACAGGTGGCCTAGACCCATTGTGTCTGGTTTCAATCTGAGAAAAGCAGCAAATTTCATGAGTCTGGGGATAGTCAGGATCAGTTTAGAATCGTGACTTTCAGTCGTGGTTTCTGGGACCTTCTAGTCAGGTGTGCTAGAACTTGAGTAAAACGTGAAATGAACGTGGTAAGAGGAGAGAGGATGTTAAAGGACAGAGTTGAGTAGAAGGAAAGTCTGTTATAGTAAAAAGGGGAAAGGTAGTTTGTAAAGTCTCAGAAACTTTGGCTCTGGGAGTCCTGGAGGAGGAGGGGAGGGCAGCAGTGGGCAGGCTACATGCTGATCAAGTGGGACACAGTGAGACCCCGCAGCCCTTCGGACCACACATGAGCACAGAGGTTCTAGTCAGGCAGGAGCTGCAGACAAAGCAGGCAGGCCTGGGAAACAGAGGCCATGTCCACCCCGTCTCAGTGGGGAGAGATGCGCTGGCTGTAACGTGGGGAAGAGCAAGGAACATTGGGAAATGTCTGAAAATGCTCCTTTGGAGACATTTTCCTTTTATCTACCAGCGTTGAAACAATTGACTTAGGGTTATGACTATATAGGCCTCAAACTTCCTGTGTCTCTTTAAGAGTCCTCATCTCTTACAGAGGCAGAGTTGCCTCGAACAGACTGTTAAACTACAGCAGGAAGGCCGGGGAGGGTGGGGGGGCAGGAGGGAGGTCGGGTAAGAGATCAACCAAAGGACTTGTATGCATGCATATAAGCATAACCAATGGACATAAGACACTGGGGGGTAGGGGAGGCCAGGGGATTGTCAAGGGCGGGGAAAAAAAGGACACATATGTAATACCCTTTGTAATACTTTAAGCAATAAAAAAATTAAAAAAAAAAGAGTCCTCATCTTATGGTCACTGGACACTCATGCATCTAGTACCCAACAGGATAATGAGATGTGCATTTCAGATCGTTTATGACAACCGCAGTCATTATGGCTGACACATCCGGAGTGTTTTCAGTGCCAGGCATTTTTAAAAGCACTTTACCTTATTTATCTCATTGCATGCTTTGTAACAATCCTTTGAATGGAATATTCTTCTTCTTCCCACTCTACAGGCAAAGTGGAGCCCAGACTGGTTAATAACTTGCTCACGGTCACCTAATTGGGAAGTGGTAGAGTGGGTCCCACAGTGTGCCTCCCAGCCCATGTTCGGGACCACTCTAAGTGACTAACTCTAGAGCTGGCAGATATCAGAGTTTCCTGCTTGGCTGCAATCATTGAACAAGAATAGGACCAAATCTTTGCTCTCCGTGAAGTTCTTGTGATGGTTGAGAACAGTGTGATTTGGCAAGTCCAAGGTCCTTGGTTATGATCTGGCCCAGTCCATGGATCTCTGGGTTCATAACTTTTCCTTTGACCTGCTGTTTTAAAGCAATATATATGGAAAAAACACTATCTACTTAATAATGAGATCTTGGATGGGTTTTTGAGTAAAATGACTGTGCTTCTCTGCCTGGGGCAGTCCCGGTTTATACCTGTTATCCTGGCATAATAATGTGTGGTTTCCCCTTTCATTCTCAGAAGTGTCCTGCTTTGAGCAATAAATTGATCAGTTTACTTAGATACAGTAATGACTTCCCCAAATTCTCATTCTTCTTCCCCAAATTCTCATTTTTCCCATGTCATAATAAAAATAGTTCTTTATTTTTATAAATCCAATTTATACTGATAAAATATAATTTTAATTATATATTTATTTATCACATTAGTTAAGGTAAATGAAGCCAGCTACTGAAACAAACAAACAAAGAAACACTGAAAAATTCAGGAAGAGTTTATTTTTCACCCATATTACCTCCCATGTTGTACCCGACAGTTGTTCAGGGATCCCAGATCTTTTCATCTGTGGCCCCACTTTCTTTATGTCCTCAGTGTCTCTTCCATCAGCCAGTGGGGAAAGATAGCAGTGAGCTCACTGGTGGGAAGCATTCATGGTTTAGGCTGAAAGTTGTGCCTATCATTTGTTATCACATTCCATTGGTTGGATCTCAGTCACATGGTTCTACCAAACTGCTGTGAGGGTTGAAAATGTGATCTAGCCATGTGCCCACAAGGAAGAGAAAGGATATAGGTAAATACTAACAGTCTCTGAAGGCTGATATAAGTAATCCAGTGCACTTTACTTTTAAAAAAAAAAAAAGTAAAAAGCAAAGCGTTACATAGAAAGCTAGCGCCTCCTCTGAACAACTGACTACTGTGAGTTTGGTGTGTAAGCACACAGAAATATATTATAGTTTTATGTTCCTGTTTGGACCCGTAGGCTAATATTCTACAAAGTACAGTCTTCACTGACTAATAAGTATTGTTTCTAATTCTTTATTTGAATATTCTCGTCAGTTCATTTTCATCAAGCTGTCATCCCCACTTACCCACTGAGCATGCTCTTGTTAAGGTCACCAGTGATGTCCTCATTACCAAATTAGAAGTTTATATTTGTGATAATTCTTCATTTCTCAGCAGAATTAACTATCTTGGATCTTTTCCTTTTTCATTGTAAAAAAATTAAGCCAATTGGGGTGACATTGGTCAATAAAATTATATAGGTTTCAGGAGTACGATTCTATAATGCATCGTCTGTCTATCACAGTGTGTGTTCACCGGCTCAAGTCAAGTCTCTTTTTATCCCTATAGATCCCCCTTCATCCTCTTCTACCTCTAGAAATCCTTCCCCTCTAGAAATCACCATGCTGTTGTCTTTGTCTATAAGTTTTGTTGCTGTTGTTAACCCCTTCACCTTTTTCACCCAGCCCTAACCCCCCTCCCTTTCATAAGGTTTTGATTTACATTTTCCTAATAGCTAGTGAATTTGAGCATTTTTTTATACATCTGTTGGCCATTTTTATGTCTTCTTGGGAGAAGTGTTTATTCAGGTCCTCTGCTCATTTTCTAAAATTTAACTTTATTGTTGAAAGTATTTCCAATTAGATTTTCTGGTTCTTGAGTTGTATAAGGTCTCTATATAGTTTGGATATAAGCCCCTTAGCAGAGGTATTGTTGGAAAATATCTTCTCCCACTAGGCTGGTTGCCTTTTTGTTTTGTTGATGGTTTCTTTCACTGTGCAGAAGCCTTGGAGTTTGGTGTAGTCCCATTCATTTATTTTTTCTTCCTTTGTCTTTGGGGACTGATCCACTATATTACTCATTGCTCTAAATGGTAAAAAAAGATGCACTATGTTTGGGCACAAACTTTTTCTCCAAGGAAATATTAAATATCTTTTTCAGCTCTTCCTCTACTTCTTCCATATTCAGTGTCTTAAATTCCACCAGATCCATATTATCCTTGTAACTGAATCTTCGATGCATGAGAGTAAAACCCACTAAGCAGTAAACTCCATCTGGGGTGTGCACGGCACAATAAGAGTCTTTTACACACCCAGATGCTGGAGATGTCTGAAAGTATGAATTCTGAGACTCAAAATCTTCAATTGTTCGAGGTTCAAGCGTAAATGAGTAGATCTTTCTGTACTTTTTCTTTTCCAGGAGTTCAGAATTAAGGAATTCTTGGTTTGGAACGTACTGCTCTCTTCTGATTTGGTCCAGGTACCAGGTTCCTCCCTCTTCTGTCAAGCGGAAGATGCATGGCATCTGAGGCTGATCCTTCCCAGAAATTAACTCCAGAGGCTGCCTCATCTGGTAAGAGCTTCCATACCCAGCATCAACTATGTAGTTCCTGCCACCCACCGTCACCATCAGCAGGAGATGTATGATAGCCCTGGTGTATTTTTCAGTTGTAACATTGCAAACATAGCTTCCCAGCATTGTGGTCTCAAAACCGATTGTGGTCAGAGCCCAGTACAGAAGTTGATTGATCTGGAGACACCACCCACCCCGGTTCTTCCTCACAAGTTGATCAAAAACAGCCTCCAAGCCCAATTCCATGGGTTCCCCACAGTGGATGTTAAGGTTCTCAAAGGGAATGGCCTGGATCTGGTGCTGAAGAATGTCAGTTAATGTTTCCAGGTCCACTTTGTTCCTAAAGTTCTTATAACCAATTCTTTCAAAATATGCTTCGATGTCCATGATCCCCTATGGCAAGGAAAAGAAAACAAAAACACATACTGTTACATTTGCAGTTGGATTTCCTTAAGTAGGTTAATTATAGTAATGTATTTTAAGTATATACAGACAAATACTAATGTTAATGTGGTAATTATAATTCTTTTAAAGATTTTTTAAATGTATTTTTAAATAAGAAATGTTTTCATTATTGTGTTATTTTTTTGACATATAAGATATGTAAGTTTAAGGTGTATAATGTGATGATTAGATACATTTATATTGCAAAGTGATTACCATAATGAGATTAGCTAACACCATTTTGTAACCTTTTTTTGTGTTGGTGATTACATTTAAGATTTACTCTCTTACTAACTTTCTTTTTATTTCTTTGTGTATATAATATAGTATTGTTAATTATAGTTAAGATGCTTTTTATTAGATTCTCTAGACCTTATCTATCTTCTAGCTTGCAGTTTGCACCCTTTGACAAACATCACCCCACTTTTCCCCCGCCCCTGTAGTTCATGGCAACCACCATTCTACTCTCTGTTTCCATGAGGTTGGCTTTTTTCAGATTCCACATATAAATGAAAACATAAAGTATTTGACATTATTTGTCTAAATTATTTCACTTAGCATCATAATGCCCTTAAGATCCATCCATGTTGTGGCAAAAGCTATGGTTTTCTTCTTTCATATGGCTGGATGGACACTTGGGATGTTTTCATTTCCTGACTATCCTATCTAATAATAGACAAAGATGCAAACTGACCGTACCTTCGCTATGCCCACCATTGGCTAATCAGAGCAATATGCAAATTAATCGCCAACAAAGATGGCGGCGAATTTGCATATACCGGCTGAGAGCAAAGACTGAAGACACTGTAGAAGGAAGCCAAGCAACGGAGCTGAGGTAGCGGAGACGGGCGGGAGAAAAGGGGCAGAGACCAGCAGGAGAGAAGCGGCAGAGAAGGGCGGGGTAGGAGCGGCAGAGAAGGGCGGGGTAGGAGTGGCAGAGAGGGGAGTGAAGCCCTATTCTTGCAGGAATGTACCTGCAATGGGCTTCTAGTTTTCTATAATGCTGCAATGACATGGGGGTAGAGGTATCTCTTCAAGATTGTGTTTTCATTCCCTTTGGCAGTATACCTAGAGTCGGATTGCTGGATCACATGATAGTTCTATTTTTAATTTTTTGAGAAACCTCCATACTGTTTTCTATAGTTGCTGTACATTCTCACCAGCACTATACAAGGATTTCTTTGTCTTCACATGACCTCACCAATTACTGGTTGTTTCTTGTCTTTTATATAATAGACATTCTAACAGTTTCAAGCGATATCTTATTGTGGTTTTGATTTGCATTTTCCTGAAGTTTGTGACGTTAGGCATCTTTTCATGAACATGGTGGCCACTTGTAATACTTTCATAGAAAAATGCCCATTCAAGTTATTCATCTATTTTTTAATTGGATTATTCAGGGTTGTGGTTTTGTTCTATTGAATTGTATGAGTTTCTTTTTTTATTTTTTTCTTTATTGATTAAAGTATTACATATGTGTCCTTATGCCCCCATTGCCCACCCACCCCTCACTCATGCCCTCACCCCCCTGTGTCTGTGTCCATTGGTTAGCTTATATGCATGCAAACAAGTCCTTTGGTTGATCTCTTCCCTTTACCCCCACCCTCCCCTATCTTCCCTCTGAGGTTTCACAGTCTGATCGATGCTTCTCTGTCTCTGGGTCTGTTTTTGTTCATCAGTTTATGTTGTTCATTATATTTCAGAAATGAGTGAGATCATGTGATATTTATCTTTCTCTGACTGGCTTATTTCACTTAGCATAATGCTCTCCAGTTCCATCCATGCTGTTACAAATGGTAAGAATTCCTTCTTTTTTACCACAGTGTAGTATTCCACAGTGTATTATTCCATTGTGTATATTCCACAATGTAGTATTCCACAGGTTTTTAATCCACTCATCTGCTGATGGGCACTTAGGCTGTTTCCAGATCTTCACTATGGTAAATTGTGCTACTATGAACATAGGGGTGCATATATCCTTTCTGATTGGTGTTTCTGGTTTCTTGGGATATATTCCTAGAAGTGGGATCACTGGTTCAAATGGGAGTTCCATTTTTAGTTTTTTGAGGAAACTCCACATTAGTCTGCATATGTATGAGTTTCTTGTATGTGTTTGATATACACCCCTTATCAGATAGATGGTTTACAAATATTTTCTCCCATTCTACAGGTTGCATTTTTAATTTTCTGATTATTTCCTTTGCTGACTGAAGCTTTTTGGTTTGAAATAGTCCCACTTGTTGATTTTTGCTCTTGATCTTGAGCTTTCTGTTGTCATATCTAAACAATCAGTGCCAAAACCAATGTCAAGAAGCTTTCCCCCTATGTGTTTTCTAGTAGTTTTACAGTTTGAGAGTACCTTTAACTCTTTAAACCTTGTGAGTTAATTTTGTGAGTGGTGTAAGATAAAGGCCAATTTCATTCTTCTGCACATAGTTGTCCAATTTTCTATGTATTAAAGAGACTATCCTTTTTCTGTGTGACTTTATTGACTCCCTCGTCAAATATTATTTGACCATATATGAGTGGGTTTATTTCTGGGTTCTTGATTCTGTTACTTTGTGTAATGTGTAATTTTTATATCAGTAACATGCTGTGTTTTGTTGTTTCATTTTTTAGTTATCTAAACTTAGGACCTTCCCCCCAGTTTTATCTACACTAATAAAAGAGAAACATGCAAATTGGTGTCACTCCGCTACCCTTCCCATTGGCTAATCAGGGCGATATGCAAATTAACTGCCAGCCAAGATGGCGGCCGGCAGCCAGGCAGCTTGAAGCGAACATGAGGCTTGCTTGCTTCAGTGACAGAGGACTCCAATGTTCCCTGCCTGCCGCTGCCGGCCTCTGAGCTTGCAGTTTGAAACATTGTAACAAATATAGAAGCTAAACAAAACCCCAGAAACCTGCTTTCAGCCAGCCAGGATCTCAGAGCTGGAGTTGAAACAGTGTTTCGATTATAGAACCCAAACAAACCAGATACCTGCTTTCAGCAGCCGAGGCCTAAGAGCTGGAGCCAAGCCTCAGAGCTAAAGCTGGCCCAGATAAAAAAAAAGAAAAGAAAAAAGGAGCAGTTGGGAGCTTCAGTCACCCGCAGCCTGAAAACAGCCCTCAGCCCTCACCAGACTGGCAGGCACCCAGTGGGGACCGTGGGACCCCTACCCTGAAGGGGGTGTGGCCAGCTGCAAACAGCCATCAGCCCCTCACCCAGGCTGGTCAGGCCCCCAGTGGGGACCCCCCCCCTGATCCAGGATTCCTTCAGGGCAAACCAGCCAGCCCCCACCCGTGCACCAGGCCTCTATCCTATATAGTAAAAGGGTAATATCCTCCCAGCACCGGGATCAGAAAGCCGAGCCTCCCGGCACTGGGATCAGCGTGACAGGGGGCAGCGCCCAAACCCCCTGATCGCCCTGCGGCTCTGTGTGTGACAGGGGGCGGGGCCACAACCTCCCTATCCACCCTGCTCTGTTCGTGACAGGGGAAGGCGCCCCAACCCCC